GAGAGGGGGGTTAGGGGTGGTAGAGTGTCAGCTGTTTGGAAACGATGGCGTCTGCTGCATCTTGTTGACAACCAAACAAAAAAAGATATTGCCATTCATTTTCTGTTCGTTCCCATGAATGGCTTCGGACAATACTTCTTACGAGAGGCTTTTGAGTCGCCCTGGGCCTTCCAATCGGAGAGACAGCGTTCAATCGGGAGACAGTAAGTGCGGCAAAAATTTGTTTACACGACCCTAACCTCACTTGGGAATGTAAACACATCGCGTCGGGGAGGGTTCTGCAAACAATCTGCAATTCTGTTTCCTAGTAGATGCCTTCTCAAATGAATTAACTCCTATTTAACGAGCACAAGAGACTGGAGACAATGTCTTTGCAAAATTAATCCATTTCTGTACAGTGAGAAGGATCCTTAAACACACCCAATGATATTCCATTTTCAACTGCTCACCTCACTTATCACCAAGGGAAAGTCTTGCTATCTCAGGTGTGCAGGTGGTCTCCCTTTTCACGTTTCCTTTTGTCTGTGCGTCTGCCGGCAAAGGATAGCCAAGGTATGCCAAGGGCCATCAGAGCTCAGCTAACACAGCTGACTGGCTGCATACTCACAAGACTGGTTTTAACAGGTGGGGAAAGGTGGGGAGGTTGAGAGGATCCAGTCCCCATCAGTTGAACAGTGGCAGTCCCCATGGTAGGGTCTACAAGTCAAGCTCTGGTGACAAAGCAATGTTGGACAATAACTGTGACGAAACCAGTGCTTGTCTAGAACATGGTACACATTCCTGTGTTTCTTCAAAGATTTTAGTTCTCTAATATTAATTTGGAGTCGTGTATTGTTTTTGGTGTTTGGTGTTTATGAGATTATGTAATCATAAGCAGTTGTATAAACTTAAGAAAAAGGATAAAATTTTATTTAGTATTTTTTCATTCACAACATTGTACGGCAACTTAAGTGTTTTCTTGTTTTTTGTTCATTTCTAGGAAAACATCTTCAACATGACGAAACAAATGAGAAGGATTTGCCATCTCAAGAATGTGGGCCATACATCCGAAGTCAATTGGCGTCCATGTGTGCTCGTCATACTTTGGCAAGACGTCTACCCATCACACAATGGCTCCCTCAGTACACCTGGAATTTCTTCTTGCATGATCTCATGGCTGGATTGACGGTGGGCATGACAGCAATCCCCCAAGGTATTGCTTATGCAGTTGTAGCAGGGCTTGAACCACAGGTAATTTCTTTCTCGGGACTCTGATTTATTTACTCATAAATATACACTGAATTTAAATCTTAAAATATGTGTCACCTTTTTTTTTCAGTATGGGCTTTATGCCGGGTTCATGGGGAGCTTTATGTATGTTTTCTTTGGGAGTACGAAGGACATTACTGTAGGACCTACTGCTATAATGGCTCTGATGACACAGACATATGTTCTTAATTATGGACCTGATTTTGCCGTTCTTCTTACATTCCTTTCTGGATGTATGATTACACTTTTTGGGTTACTGCAGTTGGGTGAGTACTAGATTTTGAAAATATGTGTAGTAAACTAAAATTTTATCTTGTACTTTCATCCTCTGATTTTTTTGCAGGTTTTGTTGTGGACTTTATCTCAATGCCGGTTACGATAGGGTTCACATCAGCTGCAGCAATCACCATCGCTACATCTCAACTGAAAGGGTTGTTTGGTTTAAAGGGAAAGACTGATAAATTTTTGGATTCACTAGTTAATTTTTTTGAGCACATTCATGAAGCTCATTTATGGGATGCTTTGCTAGGAATATCAACTATTGTTGCTCTTCTACTGATGCAGGTACATTCCAAACTTTAAAATGAATAACAATTGAAGCGTTATCTATTTCTCTTTGCAACTCTGTTTCCAAAATTTCTGTTTTCATAGAAACTACGTATTTTTCGAGTGAAAGGAAACCCTCAGGGTCAACAAGTCAGTAGTGCTCGACGCATTTTTGGAAATATTATGTGGTTAATATCCTTGGCTAGAAACGCCATTGTTGTCTTCTTTGGTATTGGGTTATCCTATGTTTTATACCTCAATGGACACACCCCATTTTCACTAACAGGTTTGTGAAAACGCACAAAATGTTGAGTTTTGTATCCTTTTGTGCTAAAAATGATTACCATTGTACTAAATAATATTTGAAAATTTTTGAAGGCAAAATAGCTGAAGGTTTTCCTCCATTTGAACCACCACCTTTCAGCACAGTTTTTAAGAACGAAACCTACAGTTTTGTTGAGATGACATCTGCCCTTGGTTCATCAATAATTGCTATTCCTCTCATCTCAATTCTGGAGAGCATTGCCATTGCTAAAGCTTTCTGTGAGTACTAAATTGCTATTCTTTTAAATTCTTTATCTTGTGGAAATAAATGTGAAAGATTTCTCTTTTTGAATGCAGCTAAAGGAAAAGCAGTGGATGCAACTCAAGAAATGATTGCAATAGGTCTTGGTAATATTGCTGGATCATTTGTTCGCTCAATGCCAATAACGGGTTCCTTTACAAGAACTGCTGTGAATAATGCATCTGGAGTTCGAACACAAGCTGGTGGAATTTTCACGGGTATTTCCTCTTGAGTGTCTGCAGCATGGCAATTCTATCCTGTTCTGTTTAAACCTAATGAATTACATTCTTTTAGGTCTACTTGTCATTGGTGCGCTTGGCCTCTTGACATCAACTTTCTTCTTTATTCCAAAGGCTACATTATCTGGACTTATTATGACTGCAATGTTTTTCATGATTGATTATGATGTTGTGTCACTGTTGTGGCGTACAAAACGTGTGTATTTGGTCTCTCTTATCCACTTCTCTCAACTCAAATTTAATTTTTACAAACCTTGTACTTTCCTTGTCTTTTTTCAGGAATAGATTTAATTCCCTTGGGTGCTACATTTGTATTCTGTTTGTTGCTTGGTCTGGAGTATGGAATGATTGTTGGTATTGCTGTAAATCTTTTAATACTGCTTTATCACTCTGCTCGACCCCCTGTTGACATGAAATGGACTGTGGTAAGCTTCAAAATTTGAAAAGCAATTAAAATTTGAGGATCAACAAAACTAATTTCTTGAAAAAAAAATTTGTAGATAAATGGATGCAATGTGTTATTAGTAGCACCAGCTCAAAGTTTGGCATTCCCATCGGCTGAATATGTCAGAGAAGTCATTGTAGCAGATTGCAATCTTCACAGAGATGAATCCCAGCAAAGTGCAGTCATAATTGATGGGGCTAACTTATTGTACATTGATTCCACTGTGGCAAAGGTAAAATTTGTCTTAAGGTATATTTATTCCTACAAAGATAAGTTTTTTATATCAGTAAATTGTATGTTTGAATATTGCAGGTCGTGAAGTTACTTTCTGAGGATTTGAAGGTGCTGGAAGTACCAATCTTTTTGTGGAGATGGCCTCCTGCAGTTACACAAACTCTACTAGGAATAGACCCAAAAATGAAACCTCTTTTCAAAAATGGTCCATCTGTTGATCTTGTTATAAGTGAGTTATAAAAAATAATCATGGGTGTGCTCATTTTACTTTCTTTCCCCCCTGTATTCTGTTTTTTGCTCTCTTCCAGATGATTTGGAAAACTGTGTTCGGCATGATGTAGAAGGTCTTACTGATGAAGATACCAGTGTGTCCATGATGAATGGTATTCATCATGTACCATAATTGTTATTCGCTACCAGAGAGTATTACTCCTGTAAAACCCAGAGTGATGTACAAATTGTGATAAAATGTATTATAAAACTTCTTTTTACCTTAGGAAATTTAAAAGTTTAATCATAAGTCATTTGCTAGCATGTCTCTCAAACATGTTGTTAGCTGTTGATACCCTTTTAACAGCATACAACAAATACTATGTTCTTAAAAATGTCAAATTTTTTCAAGTTGCCTTTAAAAAAAACGCTGTATTTTCTAGTCAGTTACCATTATCTCATTTCTGCAATTCATTATATGTTTCTAGTTCTTTATAAACTTTTGTAAAAGTATGTACTTTGCTATTTTCCAGAGATTAACATTCCAGAACTGTTTTAAATTCACAGTGCTGTGTTTTAAATTTTGTATATTGCGCATGTATATTTTTGTAATATAATTTTAATGTAACTGCAATACTAAAGACATTTGTTTACTGATGCCTGTGACAAAGATCAGCATGTAAATAGAAAACATTATGAAAGTTACAAATGTGTGATTTATTGACAAATTACACATACATTCATGCGCCCATATTCATTCATCTTTTAGCTGAACACAACTTCTTTCATTCCAGAAACACCAATCAGGGAACGATTTATACTTTTTTTAGTCGCGAGGCATGATTCAAAATGCAACATTTTTAACTACAAACAAATTTATTTCTTAACTAGCAGAAACCTTATTCCAAAACTACTTCAGCGCCTATTGCTGTTAATTCAGCCTTAAGTTTCTCTGCCTCCTCTTTTTCTATATTTTCTTTGAGTACAACAGGGGCACTTTCAATGAATTTCTTGGCCTGTAATCAAAATGTAAAGTAAGTTGATATTCTAGGGAAAAGATCAATTGTATATGTTGTGTAATTTACCTGGACTAAGTTCATGCCCTCTACGAGACCCTTGACACATTTAATTAGAGCAACTTTTTGTTTCTCATCAAACTTCACAATTTTCACATTAAATGAGTTCTTTACCGCCTCCTCTTTGGCTTCCTGCAGGACAAAGTAAATAATTTTAGCACAGTGAGGGACTTTCATAAAAGAAAGGTTCATTTGGGGGGGAAAAGAGAAAATTTGAAGTACCTCTGGGGCAGCAGCGGCAGCAGCTCCGACAGGCATGAAACCTCCCATGGGCATGGCAGGTGCATCAGGTAAGTTCAAACGTTTCTTTAAAAGCTCTGACAGATCCGCTACTTCAACTAGAGTTAGGCCAGCTATTTCGTCAACAATTTTCTCAATTTTGAGGGGGTACATTTTGGGAGCATTATCTGGTGTAGGTGCTGGCATAGCTTCTGCTGACATGTGTCTTGCAGCAATAGTGCCGCAGCTGCAATAAAGAAGACAATTAAAAAATATTTCAAAAACTAATAATATTTCTTTAAGAAGGTGGGGGTGAAGGGGCGGGGCTAAAAGGACACAAATGAATGAACCTTTAATTGGGAGGCAGCCATAACCAAACTCCACATAAATGTTCTTAATTAACGGCCATATGACATGACGATCTACAAAACAAACTACAGTGCGGGGAATATAGAAAACTATACATGGCAGAATTTTTGAAAAACTCTTCTGTTCTGCGTCGATTGACGTCAAGTTTTAAAATCTAAACCCTGCACATGCTTACAGAAACAACTTACCAGTTTTGGACTGCATCCCATTGAGAAAGGCATCTTCTCAAGGAAGACCTGACAGCTTGCATTTTGATAGAGGATATGTCTAAAATTTAACAAGTCAAAAATCTACAATCAGTAGCAGCAAATCACGCAAAAAAATTAACTAAGAAAATACACTTTGCACATATAAGTCTACTGCTTCACCGGCGCCATATTAAACAAACAAACGACGGTGACGAGAGAAAAACGAGCTATTGCCAACACAGGAACGTTACACGAACAAAATCTGTCCTGCATTAAGGTTATTCATAAAGACAGCCTTAAATATTGCTGTTTTACCCGAACGATCGCATTTTCAACCCTTTGAATTGTCTATGAAACTGAAATAGCGCTAGTTTTGACGACTGCAAGCGTTTCTGCTGCCCAAGCTGATCGGGCGGGAAAGAGACTCTCCATTCAATCGGCGCCGCGTGCGCGACGTACCGCCGCATTGCATTTCGGCTCGGAGACGCGCATCCTCACTTTCGCGGGCACGTGTCCCGCACCCGCGACACGATGTCCCTCGAGATAAGGAATTAGCCAGCGAGTCATATCTGCGTCCATCTGTGTCCGTCCGGTATGTCCGGTGCGATCCCTTCATCGCCGAACTGGCAGAAAGGTGCGGTTATTGTGTGGACGCAAGGGCGATAGTGTGGGGTCATTATCAGACTCACTGTGTGTTCGCCGCCCGGCGCCACCGTCCCCACCACACGCGTCAATGATTGTGTAAGCTATGTGAACATTGCTCACCTGGTAATTAATCAACTAGGGTACCTACCGCGCGCGCATGGCCGCGACGGGTTGCGGGGTTGCGGGTTGAGAGTAAACAAGGGGGTGGACTGAGGACTCCCGAACAACAACGTGTCAGCATCGCCCTTAGCCCCCCCCCCTCCCTCCCCAACCCGTTCTTCCTTCTCCCGCAATCACTCATACCTAATGAACCGTAAGCTCGCAGCGCAGGGAGATGGAGCAGCGGGCGGAGCGAGAGGAGGAGTGAGTACATGACACTAAATAATGAACAGAACCAACGACGTTCAACCCCTTGCTAGGACGAGCACTATAGTGTCAATGTTGCATTGTAGGCAGAAAAAATCAGAACGCCCGACACGGTTTCACATGTTTTGTAAACAAAGTTATTTATTCAGCGGAATATTTGACGACCTTCTAAATAAACAACATCAGCAACAACAAACACATGCACACAAACAAAAAGTTGACACAAATCGATAGGAAAGAAGAGGTTTAATCTATAAAGGCCAATTGAAATTGAACGCCGGCCACGTCTCTTCCTGGAGAGGGTGCGGATCTCCAACTTACACCCTACTACTGCTGTCCACGCCCACACTTTCCGGATGCGCACAGTGGTCCACTCTCCGGCACTTTCAGGTCGCCGTCGTCGGCCCCCACCGCGGCTATCCGAAGCAGGAGATGGGGTTGAAGTAGCACTGGTGGTAGCGGACCTGCCGCTTGGCGGCGCGCAGGAAAATGGTGTCGCCGAGGTCGCCGTCGGCGGCCTGAACCGGCGGCATCCTGCGCAGCGCCGCGGCCGACGACGACGGCACGTCCATCCCGTCGTCCAGCTGCACGGCCTCGGCCACCAGGGCGCCGGCCGGGGCCCCGCCGAGGCCGCGGAGCAAGAGCAGCGTCAGTGGATTAGCCTGGGGGGAAGGACCGTGAGCGGTGAGTGCTGGAGCGGCTCGCGAGCAGCTCGTGAGCGTGGAGCACGTCGGCCTGCGGCGCCTACCTCCTCCCGCTGGCCGCGCACCACGGCCGCGGAGGCCACGCCGAGCGCCAGCAGCAGCAGCCCGACCGAGAGCAGGGCGCAGCCGGCGGGGCGTGGAGACGGCAGCGGAGTCCAGGATGGCGCCATGGCTGCTGCTGCTGCTGCTGCTGATGCGACAGTCGCCGATCAACGCACCGAAGGGTCAATATATAGACGCGGTCCGCCCCCCTCTCCCCATGTCACCCCCGACCTCT